TCAAAATAATGAACCAAGACACCCTATTGATAATTAGTTATCCAACGGGTCCAAGAACGTTAGCTATCATAGACACTTGGAAAATTATAAAGGTAATGCATTGACTAAGACTAATAAAAATAGGGCTGATAATCACGAGACTTGCTCAAGTCTTCAAAACAGCAATTGCTTTAAGGTATCAGACAATTTGTTATTTATTAACTTGCTTTTAAAACTTATCCGGGAGATTCACTCCCCTTCGGACCCTTTGTTGTCCACTCCGCTGACTGATCATTAGTCAGCTGGTTCACATCACTCCGGCCAGCACAGGCCACACACACAAACACCACATAATAAGAAACAGCATACATAAAAATGTGAATTAGCGTCAGTTTAATATTGATTAATATTTACTCTCTAGCTTCTGTCACCAACGTCCTCATTATCCCACACTACCATCCATGCCATTTATGACTCCATATTCCGCTCTTTTCATGCCCATTTGTGATTGTTTCTACTCTGTCCTCACTCTCATTTACTGTTTGGATCACTTAACAGAAGTAAGATTCACCTGAAAATTTTTCAGCTCATCTCTATTCAATCTCCGCTAAACCTATTATCCAGCAAGTCTCTCATCTGTATCAGCTATCAGATTTTGTTCATAAATAAGTCTACCCGGAACCCCTTTTTTATTTTATTGTTCTTTCTTTCCTCTCAGCGGTACCCATCTCTCATTCGGTGCTTACTCTGTTCATCCCCATATTTCCCCTTCCCTGGCTGTTATTCACCTCAAAAATCCACTTCTATATTATGATTATCTCTACCCAGAATTTACACCCAGAACCCCATTCTGTCAGCCTCATCCGAGCTCTCTCCCTCCAACTATCATTCACCCAAGATTATATTGAAAACCAGACATTATAACGCATGCCAATGCACGTGTATGCATTTTACATTCACTGCTAAATTCACTTACAGCATGCTTCCCTCCGTCTTCCGAACTTTCATTTCAATCCTACTCGTTCGATTAATGAATTTACATGCACTATAATTCAGATTCAAGTCGAAAAAGGGGCAGAAATGAACTTACCTCTCGGATTGGCGATACGGAAATAATCGCGTTGACTCTCTTCCTCTCTTTAGTTCCGACGATGCTTCTCTGCTAGGGTGCTCTCCTCTCTTCCCGAATTTCTTTCTATTTTGCTCCCTCTCCATCCGTCGGCGGCCTCTCTCTCTCTCTCTTAGGGTTTCTTCTTCTCTTTTTTTTTTGGCGTAAAAACAGTGCCCTTTATATAGATGGTGGAATTAAATCATAGCCCCATTACGGGATGAGATCTGGACCCCTCGATTTCTTATTTCCTTTCAAGATTCCTTCGACTTGGTTCTTCTATTCCCTTTTTTTTTTCTCGGGATATTACACCGCGCTTCTGAAAGAACAGATCGAGGATTTTCAGGAAATTTTGTGCAATCAGCAAAGGAGAGAGAGATGTTGAGTACATGAACGCCGATAATGTTTTCCGGATAAAGAGATACCGCCATAGGCAGGCTCTCGGAGAGAATATATTGTCGGTGATAGTTGAAAACATTCTTCGTCTTCGTCGTGTTGGGTTTAAATTCTTTGTGAGGCAATCTGCTTCGGAATCCTCTCCTTAAAGGAAAGAAAGAGGAGAAAGATAAACGCGGTGCGCCCGTGCAAGAAGACAGAACAAGAAAGAGAAGGGAGCGTCGAAGGGAAAACAGAGGTTGAAGATATATATATATATACATATATACATATATGTGCGCGCTTGTTGCCGCCTAAAAGAGAAAGAAGGGCGCTTTTATTAGGTATTTTTAAATATAAAAATAACAAAATTTTTATATTATTTTAATATTTATGTTATAATTTTTTAAAGTGCATATATTATTAAAATGAGATAACTCTATTATCCAATTGATAAAATTATTATTTATATACAAATTTTCTTTTTCAATCTCTTTATTCATTATATATGTTTAATTGTTTATTAATTATAGTTTTATTATTTTTAACTTAACCAAAAAAATTTATCAGTTATCTAATAAAATTATACAATTAATTAAAAATATCAATAAAACTTATAATTTATGTTTAACACAAGATAAAAAGTTAATTTTCATATAATTAGAAGACAACTAAATTTATTGTTAATGTAGAATAATCAGCATTAAATAATTTTAATATTAATAGAATATATTTACATACAAAGTATGAAACTTTTAAATACATATACGTTCACATATTTTTTTTGTTCGATATTAATAATTTTTATTTTCTTTAAAGACGTTTATTCATTATCTCCTTTTTGTGCATTTATATACACTTGTTTTTAATTTTAAATTAAGAATAACACATCATTGAAAGAATTCCAATACATAATTTTCAAATTACACATTTTGGAGTTGAATATTTTGTAATAATTTTAGTAGAAATATGAAACCAAATAAAATCATAAAGTCTTATTGTAAATTATTTACGAAAATTATATATATATATATATGTAATTTCATAAATTATAATTTTTATTATTATTTATTTAATACATATGTTATTTTATTTTAAATAATATACTATCATACATACAAATTATTAGTTTCAATTATAATTTCTAATTAACTAAAAAATAAATTATATAAAAATATAATTTTATTTTCATATTTTATGTTCATACTCAAATTTTTACTTGGTTTTTGACTGATTAAAAATTTTCACTATGAAATTTCCTTTTCGTGAATTGAATTTACTCCTTTTAGTGCAATGCATGGATTGAAATGTTTGCTTATTATACGTGTACAAGAGTTTCATAGATCCTTTGCATCCTAAAGGTAAAAGTTCAATTCCTTCTTGATGTTTATTTATTATTATTATTTTTTTGTGTATCAATATTTTGATGGAGATTATGAGAATCATAGTTATAATTACCTATATAGTAGATTTTAATTATAAAAATAAAACAAATTTATAGTTTATTTTTTCATTTATAATTATTATTATAATTACATTAGATCTACGTTACCTGTATAGTCTATTAATACTATAATTTATAATAATTTAGTAGATTGATTAATTTTGAAAATTTTAATTAAGGCCATAAAATATGATAAGTGTTATTTATAACGAGATTTGTTTCATAAGAATCAGTTAAGTTTGATTATGAATGATTAATAAATGAAATTGTCTTACGTTAACTAAATTATCAAAATGAATAAAATATAATTATAAATTTATTATATCAGACACTTCAACTGTTAAGATAATTAAAAAAATAATAAATTTCAAATTTAATGAAATGTAACTGATAGTTGAAGGAACATAACATTTATAATATTTTAAAATAGTTTAAAGAGTTAATAGAGAGTATTAAAAATTATATAGTATAACCTTAACACACTATATAAAAAAAACAAGGTAAATAATTTTAACATCTGATAATAATGATTTGGGGAGTGAATTAACATCTAAATATTTAGTAATTGTAGGATGAAACCAGAATTTGTGGTTAATTATGATTGTTGAATTCCTAATTAACTTAACTACCAAATATCTTTTTTTACTCCTTGTTCCATACCCTTTCTATATCCCGTGCTACTTATCATCTTTTATTCAATACATCACTTAAAATTTTAAAATTGAATGTTAATTTTGACATCTTGAATAATTAAATTCGATCAAATTATATTCTAATAAAATTTCAAAATATAAAATTATGTTTTATGGTAAACATAAAAATACAAGAATTTTATATTCTCTAGTATTGCATAACCACACTTGGGAAAGAGGTTTATACATACATACATTAGTTAGTTCTTCTTTGCTTAATAAAGACATGAAATACGAAGTCTCCAACTTGAGATCAGAAGGCCCCATTGTGCTATACATATCGGACTAGTAGGAAATTATGGATGAGCACAAGTAATTGCTTTTGGAAGGTTTTAAGTTGAATAGTTGGAAAAACTGGTGGCAGACACACATCATTGACAATAAATAAAGCAGTAGAAGTTAGAAAGGAAGGATCAAAGTTTTCCTCAATGTCATGCATTTGCTACTTATACACTTTGTCCCCATTTTTCATACTAAATCCAAGAAAGGGGATAGAAATTACCATATGGAGTTCTAAGTCTTCATTTTTCTGTTTGATTTGATAGTTTGATATTGTATTCTCATCTACCTTATTTTTATAAAATATAAGATTAATATTCCTCTACCTTATCTCTTTTTATAATCAAACACTTTATTATTTTTTAATATTAAAAACATTAATTTCTCTAGAAAAACTTACAAAGATTAATTCCCAATAAATGTTCAATCTTGTAGTATAATCGAATTTTTGCAATTACGTCAACGTAACTTTAATTTTTACTAAATATTGTTTAGTCAAAATTTATATTACGAAAATTACTTTATTTAAAATAACGTAAGATGATCTGGACATTTGATTTTATTACTTTGAGATTCCGCCAACATATCGACTATTGTAATATCAAAATTTTTATTCTGCAAAAAGTATACTTGGTAAGCAAAGTATAATTTTTCGTCTAACCCTTATAAGTGAATGTTGTTGTATACTAATAATAAATATAAATTATTAATTTTTTTTACAAAGAAATAATAATAATAATAAGTGGATTGAAACCATTCTATTATTGTAATATATTATGAATGATAAATTTTTATTACGTTTTGTTATAGAACTTTAGATTTTATTGACTATTAAATTTATTAAGAAATAGATTTTAGAAAAAGATATATATTTAAGAAATTTATGACAAAAAGATATATAGACAAGTGCACGTGTGTTTGAAATGGAGATTTCTGTCGCACCTCAAAATGATATGCTTGTAACTTTAGTCCTTACATTCCCCAATTGCCACCTCGCTAGATTTCTTTCTTGCAACCTACAGTTTCGAGCCAGCCATGTGCATCACCACTGTTCACCATTCTCTCATCACTCAAAAACTATCATGAAAGCATAATGGAATTAATATATATGCTGTAATAATTGGATTTATTACATTAAAAGTACAAAGATAGTTCATCTGTAAACTAATATATTGCGTTTTAGTTATTGATTTAAGAAAAAAAAAAATTAAGAAAAGTGAGATAGATGCTGGCAGTGAAGAAAGCTTGGAAGGAAAGCACTTTCAAACCTCTGCCATTACTTGGATTAGAATCAAAGTCAGGATACCCCCAAATGTTACAAACTCCTAAGACCTTCTATAAGAAAGAGAGAGAAAAGGAGAGAGAGCTAACGTTCACGACAAACTTGATGGGTAAAAATTTCAAATGTCATTTTGATTATTAGTGCCATGGACTATACTTCCCACCTCACCCAACTTGGAAAGAACCCTCCCAACCAGAAAAGAAAAAAGAACATACTCCTTTCTCTTATCTGGAAAAGAAGCCTGGCTAAACATGATCTGAAGACATTAACATTTTCCTCCTAGTTGAAACAAGTTTGGGGATCAAACCTTTGTTTCAGGACAGACATGGCAAAGAGATCAGATTTTGCACAGAAGCTGTTAGATGATCTACGACTGCGAAAGGAACGGCTAGCTGCATCTCAGAGCTCAAACAGGACAAACCCCAAGGTTGCAGGTAAGCATTTGTTTAAAACTCTGCATTAAACACAGCCAGCTTAGAAACTGTTAAAAGAAATGGAGGGGACGGCTACCAGTTTCTTGTTGAAGTTATCAGCGTTTTAACTCAGACTGGACCTTTTTTTAGATTATAATTCTTACTCAACAAATTCAAGTAATTACAAAAGCAAAAGCATCAGCTGTTTTTTTTACAGAAGCAACTCTTTTACATACTTTTATAAGGTCACATTATAGACATGTAAGGAAATCATGTACAAGCACTAACGTATATTGTAAAAGCAAGCATGAATGAACCAAAAAATATTACTTTCGCGTCATCTCATTTTCATTCAAAGATGCCATGATCAGAAGTATGATACGAAAGTCTTACGATCGGTTACGTAAATCTAAAATACAAATAAATCAGATAAAGATCTATAGAACACATGTATCTAAATGAAAAATCATAGATTTAGGAATACGTGTTTCCAATTCTGTAGAGTTGAGGCTAGTTCTTTATCTCCTCCACTTTTCAGAATGACAATTATCAATAGAACAAGTTATATTTATAGCAGTCAAGGGAAGGACTTAACTCTAGGTTAAATCTCAAATAAGATCTTTCCTTTAATGAGGTACATACAAGTCTATACTAAGTTGTTGGTACATATCTAATATAATAAAATGTCTGTGTAGACCTTAATAAATTTAGACCATAAATTAGCTTTAGTCTCATTAGTTTTCTGCTCTTAATAACAATTTCTCACTTAAATGGTAGCCCACAAAATCTTACATAGCATGCTTACAAGTTACAATTTAGGAACACAAAATATTATAGACCAGGCAAAAACTAGTTTCACTCAAATTAAAATGCTCTAGTGACTGTTTGCTAGAAATATCACCCTATTTAGATTGTCGCTCATCTGGTTGTTGCGCATTTCCCATCCAGTTTCTCAACAATTCCTATTTTCATTTCAATGCACGTCTTAATATAATAAAAACATATCTTCTTTTGGTTGATCTATCACCAACCCCACCTTATATTCTGAAAATTATAAACAATTTGAATTGGGTATTTGGAATTTCTGCATCACATATTTGGTATGAATCCAGAATCCAATAAAACACAAGTTCAGCTATCTAGCAACATGGGTCTTTCAAGCTCATGAACAATTTTTATATTTATACTCATTTGTATTTGCTCGTCATGTGCTCTACAGATGCATATACATACTCCAAGAGGACTTACAAAGGATTGAAGGAAATAAAAACACCTGATATGGTAAGTTTTCAGGGTCTATCTATCATACACTAAAATAACAGTTAGATTGGAGTACACAAAATTTATTAAATTAAAATAGTTCATTTGCTGCAGACTGCTAATCAAAATGGGAAAACTAAAACCAACTTCAGTGGAGGTAATAACAATGCAGAAGTGTCAAATCAGCTGATTCCTTTTGAGCAAGGCCAGAGTTCAAACAAGTTTAGAGATCTTTCAATGGCTCTGGCATTTGCCTTCGAGAATGAAGCAAAACTCACAAGAATAGCATCCTCAGGCACTAATTCAATGTTAAGTTTCCTCCATCAGTTTGGTAGGAGATCAATGGACTACGGAAATATGGATAGTAGTATAGATAGGTATCAGCTTTCAAACAGCAGCTTCCCAGCAATGTCTTATCTGCAGCTAAGAGAAATATCGAAGGGGGCACAAAAATTATATCAGATCTTGAGAGCCTGCTCTGGTGGTCTTAACTTTGATAGGTATTCAATAGAAATTGGAAAGGAACTGTTGAAAGGTGCCATGGATTTGGAAGATTCTTTACGGATGCTTGTAAGCCTGCAAGAAGCATCAGACTACTTGACCAGCCCACAGAGAAAGAGTAGGATCACAGTGCTTGAGAATGATGAAGATGATGATACTAACACAGCTAAGATAGCTGAACAAAAGAAAATGGATAGACCAAGATTTTCCTTTGACAAGCTCTCAAAAAAATATCATGATGTCCAAGAAGTTGCAAGGACTGATCTCAAGGCAAGGCTAGCAGCTCTTACTCTCCCAAACTCAAATTCAAGTTCTCACAAGCGATCAATTAGTTATGGCCCAAATGTAAAAGTTCTTGCCACGTTCTCGGAAAGAACCAACAGTGCATGTTCGCCATTATCAAAAGCAGAGAAACCAAGAATTCCAAATGTGATTGCAAAACTTATGGGTCTGGATGAACTTCCTGAAAATGTAGATTCAAAGCACAACAAACAGAAAGACTCTACTTCCAAGCCGAAAATGGAAGGGATAGATTCAAAAAGAACTGCAAAGTCAAGCATCAAGAAGACTGAACAGAAGACGGAAGATATAGAGCATATAGCATTTTCAACAGTTAAACAGAAGGCAATACAAGCCAGCAAGACTTCAGCAAGTCGAGAAGGCAGTATGCTGCACACAGGAAACAACCTGCCTCCTAGAAATGTCACTACTGAGGTGGCAATCCATAATGAAGCACTAGGTTGGAAGGACTTTGAACATATGAAGCAAGTGACAGGTTCGCCACAAAAGTCCATCAGAATAGAGAGGCAAGACGGCACCATGATAAATGTGAATGATGACACTGGAAACCAAAAAGATCTTCATGGAAAAGAAAGCAAACATGATACTACAAAGCACAGGGAGAAAAGAGGCATAGAAAAAGCTGAAGCCAAGGAACAGTTATTTAATAATGAGACACACTCGATAGCACCACAGAGGCGTAAAAGACAAACATCTCAAGAAGAATCAGAGTACGATAAAGACACCTTTCAGATAGAAAACAGATACAAAAACAAGCTCATGATTACAAACCAAGGTAAAATTCAAAACAATCTTGGATCCCAACAATCACTCCTTGTTGAAAGAACTCAGTCTCAACAGACCAATAGACAAGCAGAAGAGAGGAGTCAGACGAGTGTGATACAGAAGTTGCAGGTAAAGAAACAAAAAAGAAGTGATTTAATCGTTCGTTTATCAAAACCCATCCATGATTCAGTTAATGTGAAGAAGAAGCAGCTACATGTGAAGCAAGCTGCTATTAGCAGGAAAAGCTCTGTAGAATTTAGTGATTCACTTAAATCCAAGGGATCTCCTGATGTGAGAAACCAAGAAACTTTTGTCAGGGATGAACAGGCAACCAATTCAAATGTCAAACAGAAAGATTCCACAAAGAAGAACACACACCAATATTCATCTCTGAAAAAAATAGAACCTGGGTTGGCACAAACTGAAACTATGTCATCTATGAAAGAGAAACCTGTTCATATACAAGCTGTGAAGAAGATAAAAGAAAAGGTGCACAAAACTGAGATCCCTCAAAAAATAAATGAGGTGATGACCAGGCGAAATGATGGTTTGGAGAACTTAACCAGGCCGTTGAAATATCAGAATTTGATTTTGCAAGTGAAACAGAGAAGGCAGGAAAAAATTGATGGTTCTGAAGAAGCTGATAAATGGAAAACCAACAGGTTGAAAGAAGCAGAAGTGTGCAACATCAAGTCCCATAAATCAGAAGAAACCATCCAACCTTCAACCATGATAAAACAACTTCGAAGAGGAATGCCTGAAGATCAAACTGTTAACATCCCTAGAGAGGATAAATGCCAAAGCCTCAAAGAACTACCAACTCCAGCTTCAATAGACAGTGTAAGTTATCCTAACTGAATCATAAATGATATTATTTATAAAAAAAAGATAATTCACACAAATAATCATTCTCTATTGAAATTTGTTAATACTTCCAAATAAAGAGCTCAAGTTGTTATTCAAACATTATGCAGTGTCAAAAGGAAATTCTAATACCTACAAATGATCAGAAACTTCAAGATTCATCTTGCAGCAGAGATCAAGAACTCAAATCTCTTAATATTTCATCTGATGCACAAATTGGTGAGTCCAAGATTGCATTTTCTATTCTATTTCTTATCTTTGCAAAGCACAAATTATTGTCTTGTTGGAAGAGTTAAAGATGTAAATAAAGTCAATCATCATATCCCAAATTAATACAACCTCAGGCATCCTCCAACTACAGTAAATTACCTCGTTTTAAATCTGCCAAATAGTTCTGTCTTCCTAAAGGATTGTCATTGAGACATTTGTAGTGAAAATTATCTAAACATTCTACATGCCATGGCAGGGATAGATGGCATGCATAAGTAAATAGAGTCTGAACTTTATCAGAACCTAATACACCCATCCTGGCCTAAAATTACACTGAAATGCATGTTGACAAAACATCAATTTTAAGAAAGTTTGCCAGATAGTAAAGAGGGAAAGAACTCAAAATCATACTTCATTACTTAAAATATTTCAGGAAGTGGGGAAGGCAGCCAAGAAATTCTTCATCTCTCACAGTTGGAGCATCAGACGATTTCTGAATCAGAGAAACCAGAGCCACTAACAGAAAGTGAAGAGCATCTCAAGCAGATCCTGATTACAAGCCAACTATTCCTTAACACCGTAGAGGCACTATTCAAACTGAACATTCCTATAGGCATTCCACGTGCTGGTGAGCATGATTATCATGATAAAGACAGCAAACTCATATTAGCCTGTGGGTATGAAGTTGCGAAACGAAAGGGTAAACGACAAGAGCTAAGTGTTCATCCTTTCATGAAGCTATCCATTACTTTTGTGAAGGTAATATCCTTGGACGACTTGGTTAAGCAATTACATAAAGAGTTTGAGAAGTTGAAACTTTATGGTAGGAATGGTAATCTTGAATCTGTCATTGAAGCCTACCTGCCTAAAATGCTTGACATTGATGTTCATGATATGGAGCCAGATGTGAATTGCATGTGGGACTTGGGTTGGAACAATAAGGTGTTTGCATTCATTGAGAAAGATGATGTTATGAGAGATGTTGAGAGGCATATCTTCAACGCGCTTCTAGATGAGTTAGCCAAGGATCTTTCATGCATATAAGCATTTTTCATTTTATTGAACAAGAACACTGCTGAATCTACTAAGTTTCTATGTTACAGGTTGTACAACCGAGGTAGTTGGGGAGTTTAACTGAGTTTCAATGCTTGATTATTGGCTTCATTGCTTTGTAAAGATTTTGTCATAAAAATATAATTGTTTTTGCTTCTTTTTCCAACACTGCTTCTTTCTTTTGTAAAGTTCTTTCTGATTCAAACAAGTGGAAAAACTGAATTGTACTCCAAAAAAGAAACTAAAGACATCTGCCAATTCCAAACACGATCCTCTACCGTCTGTACAAAATGTAGCAAGTAGACTCATCTGTAGATATGTATTTAAACAACTCTGAACCTCACTCGATATAATCTAATTCCCACATATACCAAAATTATGAGAATTGTGAGACAAAAACGGCCGAAATCATTTCCAATCAATAATTGCCAAAGGCATACCTGTTGACATGTTGTAGAGCCTTAGAATTGGATTCGCAATCATTTAATTGCTCGAAAAAGTTCAAACAGTCTACAGCAGATTCTCAAGAACCAGAAGGCAAAAGATGAATTCCAACCGACGATCAATGACTAATGAGTTGGTGTCCGGCTGCTGAGAGAGGTGGAAACGCAATGAAACCGTAAACAAGAGATTCAAAAATCTCCTCCCTCTCTCTCCCCTCATTGGCAGGCCCTTTTTGGGCCTTCGCGGGTCTTCTAGTCTCCTAAATACCAACAAGTAGACTGAAACTTGGGCCTAATTAGCAGCTCTTTCAAGCGCAAATTGGTCTCGCCCTACCGTGAAAATAAAACTCTCCCCAAATACTAATTTCTAGAGCCTAGTTTTTTGAGGTTGATTTGATGCTAATGTATGGGTAAACACATATAAGTTGAATCAACGTATGTAATACTTTTCAAAGTTTATAATAAGCTCTTTAATATATTTTAAAAAATTGTGAAATATAAATGTTAAGTTAATTTTAGAATATCTAATGAAATAATGAACAATAGAAATAATGCAAAATTTTATTCCAACTCGGGCTACCATGCAATCACTAGACATCTTTTTTTTTTTTGTTGTTGCTTGGGCAGGCAATTATACCCACCTTGTTAAAGTTGGCAAAGCTTTTGTGCTTTTCTGCCCTCAAGTACCAATATTCTAATGTTATGCAATAAGCTCTTTTATCGCGTTTGCCTTTAATATTTGAATATGCTTTACTTTCTCAATTTGTTTTAAGTCAAAAGCTATAAGCTCTTTTTTTGTTCAATGCCAACTCTGGTTATTTCTTAGTAGAGAAGGAAAAGCTCTTTGTATTAGTTCCAATCTTTTCTAATCATCCACTCAATAAAAATATCTTCTAATAATTATAAAGAGTCGTATGTTTTTTTATAATTTTTTAATTAAATTAAATATTATAAATCAATTACGCTTAATTTATATATATTTAAAAATTAATAAATTTTATTTTAATAAATTTTAAATTCAAAATTTACAAGTAAAACGTAAAAATTTTTAATTATTATAGTATCATGTTAAAGTAAAACAAAAGACACTAAGAGAGACACGATCATCAAACTAATACTTCTACTCGTAAGTTCCAGCAAGTTTG